CATATACTTGAACGGTCAACTAATAAGAACAAAAGTATGTGGAAAATAATTAATGAACATACAGGGAAGCAAAAGTCATCCAATCTCCCTTTCACGGATGACCTTCAATCTCTGGCTGATGATTTTAATAACATGTTCTCTAGCATTGCCGGTGGTTTGCCTTGAGAACTTGCAATAGTTGTCCACATACGTTTTATTTTTTCCCAGTTTGCAAAGACGAACTGGTTTCGATTGTAAAAACGCTGAGTTACTCACAGGCATGTGGTATTGATGGAATACCAATCAACTTCCTAAAAAAATGTCCACAAACTTTTATGGATCCAATATGCCACATAATAAACCAATCCCTGCAGTGCGGCATATTCCCTGAATACCTAAAAAAGGCAATGCTTATACCACTATATAAGAAAGGCGATTCAAACGATATTTCCAATTACCGACCAATCAGTTTGCTAACTGGCTTCTCTAAGATCTTTGAAAAAGTAGTCTACAACAGACTGTATAATTATTTAGAAAAGCACAAATTACTGAGCGAGCGCCAACATGGTTTTCTGAAACGGAGAAGTGTGGAAACTGCATTATTCACGTACACGTGCGACATTTATGAGGCTTTGGAGAGAGGAGATATAGCTTGCGGTGTACTCCTGGACTCATCGAAGGCGTTCGACACGATTAATCACAAAATACTGATCTCGAAATTGGACTCGTGTGGGATGAGGGGAATCGCTCTTGACTGGTTTGCTTCGTACCTGTGTAATAGAAAACAAAATGTGCGAATTACGGAAAATGGCGTTCCAATTATTTCAAGGGAGACCACTATGTCGAGAGGTATACCGCAGGGCAGTATACTGGGTCCTATATTGTTCCTGATATACATAAATGATGTACACAGTGCTAGCGAAGACGTAAATGCTAACTTCTCCGCTATTAACTACGCTGACGATACCAGCTTTCTATTATATGGTGATACATTTGAATCTATTGTTACTGGTGGTTCAGAATTGTTAAATACTGTAGAAAATTGGCTAACCACCAACGACCTCATTATAAACCATGACAAGACTAACGTTATTTTGTTTAAAACTATAAATAGCTCTTATCACAATACTATAACCTTCAATCATCGTTTATATACAACTGAAGAACGGGTACGTTTGCTTGGAGTGGTTATCGACGACACTCTTAAATGGAAATCGCATATTGATGCACTCTGTAAAAAGTTGAGCAGTTTTTGCTACGCTCTACGTCAAATGAAAAAGTTGGTGAATGATCGCGTTATACATTTATGCTACTACGGTTGTTGCTATTCGGTTTATTCAAATACGGTTTGGTATCATAGTCTGGGGAGGCAACAGCGAATTACGTCGTGTATTTGTGTTGCAGAAGAGAATAATACGCACCATGCTCGGTTTAAGTTACGGACAATCGTGTAGAGGCAATTTTAGGAAAAATTTTATGAGATTTTAGTTTTTCTGTTTAATAACAAAAGTCTTTTTTCACAAAACTCTTTTAATCACCATTACGAAACTCGAAATAGGCGCGATTATTGCTACCCAAGACATCGCCTAGCTGCTAGTGAAACTTCAACTGGTTATGCGGCCCTAAAATTATATAATAAATTACCTAACTCGATAAAACATATTACCAGGATTAGTACGTTTAAACAAGATTTGTTCAATTTTCTAATCGATGTAGAACCCATGTTGCTGAATATTTAGATTTTAAAATGTAAAATCTTAAAAATGACGTTTGTTGTTGTAATTTTTTGATTTGTCTACAACACAATGAAGATTATTATTATTATTAATCCTCGTGGTAACCAGTCTCAATACTTTACTACCTTACACAATCAATATTATTGTCAATACTTTTGTGAATAAGTTTTACACGGTTATTTGCCGGTTTTTCCCTCCCAAATATGGATAATCGTACAAAAGCTTGGAAAGCTATTTTGGCGCTTGGAACTACTCGTCCAGTGAAACACAAACACTGGATGAAAAAAGAGATGGTCTGCGATGTTAATGATTTCAAGAACTATTTTCGAATGGATGAAAGTACCTTTAACAAAGTGCTACAGATGGTTGAACCATTTTTGAAAAGACAGGATAACAATATGAGAGAAAGTATAAGTGTTAGGGAAAGATTAGCCTTAACCCTAAGGTACTTGGCCACAGGAAGAATTTTTGAAGACTTGAAGTTTTCTGTTATAATGCAACTATCAGTAAAGCTGTAATAGAAGCCTGTGATACCTTTATATATGTCCTACAAGACTACATGGAGATAGTTCATATTGCTCGATGAAATTACGAAGAGCATCTTGTTCAACATCACAATTTTTCACCTTACACGGTCAATATGCTAAGGTATTATCAATATTATTGATCGTGTAAGGGTCGCTTATTGGAAGAAATATGGTGAATATTTTGATAAAAATCCATATCAGTTTTTCAAATTATTTCTAACCTCCCAAGTCATAGAACTAATGGTAACAGAGACAAACAGATATGCAGCATCACCGACTACAAGAAAAGTTAAGCCTCCTGAAAATAATCCAAAACATCTAAAGGTGTCCCAAAATTAACGCAAGATTTCAATTTGCCGCCATTCATGCAGTAAAGTGTTGACAACCCTAAAAAAAAATAAATCGACAGTTGACAGTTTAGGGTTAGTAAAAATGGAGCTTTACACAATAGAACAACGTGTCTTCATTATTGAACAATATTTCAAAAATAATGACTGCTTGGCGGCAGCAGTTCGAAAATTTCGTACAAAATATGGTCGGAATACTGTTTTAACTTCGTCAACTGTGAAGAGATTAATTGAAAAATTTCGGGAGACAGGATCCGTTGGAGACACCAAACACACTGGTCGTCCAAAAACAAGCCGTTCAAATGTCAATATCGAAGCAGTGCGTGCGAGTGTCGGCGACAATCCAGGATGTTCGGCGTCGTGGACAAGAATTGCAAATTTCAAGAAGCTCTCTACAGCGTATACTCACTAAAGATCTGTGCCTACATGCTTACAAAATTCAATTAACACAACAACTGAAGCCCAATGACCATGCACAGCGTAGAGAGTTTGTTGAATGGATTATTGAGCATCAACAAATGAATGCTGATTTTTCGAGCAAAATCATCCTAAGCGACGAAGCACATTTTCACCTTGATGGGTTTGTTAATCGCCAAAACTGCCGCTTTTGGGGTTCTGAAAACCCACATGTGATTGTCGAAAAACAAATGCATCCACAACGTGTCACTGTATGGTGTGGATTTTGGGCTGGAGGCGTAATTGGACCATACTTTTTTGAAAATGAGGCTGGTCAAGCAGTGTCTGTTACTGGTGCTCGATATCGCGACATGTCAACACAGTTCTTTTTGCCGAAATTGAATGATATTGATGTGGCCAATATGTGGTTTCAACAAGACGGTGCCACATGTCATACAGCCCGTGAAACACTTCAATTACTGCATGAGACATTTCCAGGTCGCGTACTCTCTCGTTTCGGTGATCAAAATTGGCCCCCTAGATCGTGTGATTTAGCACCATTAGATTTCTTTTTATGGGGTTATTTAAAATCACAAGTCTACGTCAACAAGCCCACAACCACGCGTGCATTAAAGGAGGAGATTCAACGTTGCATCAACGAAATTCAGCCACATTTATGCAGAATGGTCATGGAAAATTTCGACAAACGAGTGCGTATGTGTATGCAAAGCCGTGGAGGCCACTTGCCCGATGTGTTATTTCATAAATAACCCTATCCTATGTACTTTATGAATCAATAAAAAAATTACAATCAAAAGACTAAAAACTGTGTTTTCTAGTTAATGCAAATCTTGCGTTAATTTTGAGACACCTTTAGTACGGATTTAGAGAGGGACACTCCACGGTTCACCAACTGGCAAGAGTAGCGGAATATATCGAGGAAGGGTTTGAGCTAAAAAGTTTACAGCTGTTGTTTCGCTGGATGTAGCAAGGGCCTTTAATACTGTCTGGATTGAAGCATTAAAGTACAAGCTCAATCAAACGGGGTTAAGCAACTATTTACTTGCCATTCTGTTCTCCTTCCTCGAGAAGAGAACTTTCTCCGTCACCATCAATGGATACTCTTCCAGCATCGAAGAATACTTGCAGTTTATCCCCTGCTCTGTTCAACATTTTTATGCATGATATCCCGACCGACGTAAACTTCGAAATGGCCATGTTTGCGGATGACATGTTAATAATGGAACAAAACGACATCCTTATTAATGCTATTGAGACACTTCAAAGATCAGTGGACAAAATCCAGAAATGGTTATCAAAATTGGCCATTCTGCTCAATGCCAGACCAAGATTTTTTCGCTAAGACTGTTGTGGACTGTATGTAGTTGAATGAAAAGCTTCTATTTTTGTTTTAATTTATTTTCTTTAACACAAATATAAAGCTTGGAAGTGTCCGTCATCGCTGCTCGTAACGGACTGATCCCTTTTCGCGGGTAACAACTCGACACGTGTATCCCTTCGATCTCTCACTAACGACATCTATGAACGAGAGTCGCAACAAAGACCTTATCAAAATGCATTATTATAAACGATCAAGACCTAGGAGTTCTTCTTGATCACCGCCTCACTTGGAAACTCCACATAAACTCAAAGGTCAACCAAGGATATATCCAATTGTATCCCCTGATCAACAGAAAATTACCACTGCAAACTGAGTGCACTCTACTTCTTTACAAAGCCCTCATCAGGCCACTAGTAACTTATTTCTGCCCAATTTGGAGCAAAAAAATCTCAGCATCTTAATGCCATTTATGTACTTGGTTGCTTACGTAGGACACCTGTATATTCTGAATATTTTTCAAGCTTATTAAGTGACGTTTAAGTTTTATTTGCGGTGTTCTAATTAGCGTGCCACCCCTGTATATAACCTAGAAAACTAATTACACAAATTTTTTTTTATAAACCTTTTTTCCACCCTTTCTGAGAACGACTTATAACCTCATTTTATGATTTACCAAAAGCCATAATTCCGATTGCTGGGATAATATCGTTATTAAAAAATTTCCAAGAATCTGTATGAGTAGGACTGAAATTAACAAAAAGATTAATTTTAATTAATAAATTATTTTTGTACCTACACAATAACCCTCATAGTTCCAATTCTTATAAAAATACTAATTAAGATGAATCCAATACACACCAAACTCACAAACGAGATTTTGGCCAATTTCGCGATATCCCTATAAAGACATAAAGGAATTGTAATTAAAAACGTTGCGATTAAAACGATTATTTCCCTTTTTGCGAACACCGAATCATCGTCTACCCCGGTTAATCGAATGATAACCTTTGTTACTGTGTCTCCAACCACAACGTTATAAGATACCATCGCAATAAAAGGGTAAGCGAATTGGAGGCACCCTAATAAAATATAACCAGGCTTTCCAAAAGCCGCCTCCATAATTCCTTGATAAGAAAACTTCCCACAAATGTGTCCACTTCTCACCATTAAAACCAACGAATAATCAGTTATGTAAGCAACAATAACTAAGAGGATAATTCCAAAACCAAATCCAGCTTCTTGGAGGGCATAAGGTATCCCAATTACCCCACTTCCAATTATTGAGTTAATAAAATTAAAGCTAGCCCATGGTAAGCTGTTTGTTCGCTCGTTTTCTTCCTCCTAAAATCGATTCATTATTTCTTTTTTGGTTTATTAATAATCATATTTACGGAAATTAATTGTTTCATATCATCGAAAGCGTTCTCGTTTGATTCGATACTGCTAGCCTAAAATAAATTAAATTAATTATTAATAAATTAAATTAAGTCAAAAATTATGACTTCAAATTTGACTCAAAATTTGAAGTTGACATTTGATTTAGAGTTAGGCAACCCAAATTACTCCCTCGTTAAAAAAGGTAACTACATCAAAATGATTTTATTTAATTAATAAAATTTTAATAATTAAAATTAATTGTTAATAAAAAAAGCTTACTCTATCTTCGGAAAAATGTCTCCGACCATCTAGGATGTAACTACGTTCGTTTAAATTACCCGTTTGTAGTGCCATGATGTGGTCCGGGGTTAAAACGATTTGTTTTAATAACTTTTATAGCTGGGGATCAAGAATGGGGTGCGTCTAGGGTGCTTTCCGCCGACGCACCCCGGGTCCAGGAAAAACCGAGATGTTTTGTATATTAAATCGATTATTATTCGGCGCTTGCGCTTAACCACAAAATTTTTAACACGTTTATATTTATTATTCAAAGAATAAGAACGATTATGATGGTGATTTTTGTTGATGTTTTTGGTTTAAAATGAATTGTTTAAAAATTAAAACTGAAATTAAATAAAAAGTAATTGTTTATGATGGTTATTAATACCACCGAAAGATGTCGCTTTAAATGAAACTTAATTTTTAAAAAATGTTTTTTATAAAATAATTAAATTAATTAATTATTAATGTTAATAATTTAATTATTTTTTGTTATTTATTATTAATAAAAATCATTTTTGTTTATAATTTTAATGTTAAATACTAAATAGATGTCGTGGTTAATCGTTGCCAACTTCAGACGGGTCAATTTGGTTATCACAAGTGAAAATGTCGGAAAAGAAGAGTTTTCCGGAAGAAAAAACCACCGTAGATGGAAATGTGGACACAAAAAAGAATAAAAGGTACTTTCGACGTTTATTAAACCACCAAACGAACCTCCAAAGCCAACGTATTCACCCGAACCCCTCAAAAATCGCACGTTTATTCACGGAAAGCGGCGATTTTCGTCGAATCACTCCCTAAATCGATACAATTACCGCCCGTTTTCCCTTTATTTATTAATAAAAAGTGAAATAACACGCGCGTATACGCACAAAGTGAAAAAAAGGGGGCGATTGTGATCGTTTTAGTGGTCTTTTTCGAATCGATACGATTCTAACCTCAAAAATGTTTAACAGCAAAAAGAAACGAGGAAAACCCGTCGTGGAGGAACCGCCCAAAGAAAATCAGAATAAAATTGAAATTTTAGAAGGACAAGAAATGAACGCGTTGAATAATATTTCGATTAAGGATCTTCGAGCTGCCATGGAAATGTTTTCTTATTATCAAAAGCCGGCGAAAACTCCTGAAGAAGCTTTACATAAATCTTATCAATTTTGGAATACACAACCAGTTCCAAAAATGGGTAAATTAAAGTAATTAATAAAATTATTAAAATTTATTACTCAACTTAATAATTTAGATGAGAAAATTACCGCTAACGAAGCCATTGAACCCAACAAAGAAGTCGCGGAAGTTAGGGCAGAGCCTTATAGCCTCCCGGATGGTTTCCATTGGGACACTTTAAATTTAGCTGATCCTTTGGTTCTCAAAGAACTTTATACCCTTTTAAACGAGAATTACGTTGAGGATGATGATTGTATGTTTCGATTTGATTATCAACCTGATTTTTTAAAATGGTAATTAACCATTTAATTATTAAAGTATTATTAATTATGATTTATTTAGGGCGCTCCAAGCTCCGGGATGGAGGAAAGAATGGCATTGCGGTGTTCGAGTTACTAAAAGCGGACGATTAGTTGGATTTATTTCTGCTATTCCAGTTACGTTGAATATTTATGATAGGTAAGATTTAATTATTAATTATTTTGAGGAGGTTAACGTTTATTATTAATTATTTCGATATTTATTAAGATTATTTAATTTAAATTTGAGGTTAGATTTTTAATCAATTTTAAGTTGGTATCTCTGAAAAAAGTTTTTTTAACGTTTTTTAACCAATTTTTAAATTATTTAAGTTCAAATTAGATCTAATAATTGCTTTTTTAATTAAAATTTTTAAATTAATATAAAATATAAATTAATTCTTTTATTTCCAAGCTTTTAAGACTTTTATAAAAATAGATTTGAGGTTGGTAGCTTTGAATTGTTATTCAATTGTTTTTAGTTGTGTTTGTTGTGTTAATAATTAGTGTTTTATCAAGTTAATTAAAACTGGACCATTAGTTGGAGTTATTTCAGTTATTTCGGTTAGGATAGGTGAGATTTAAATCATTTATTATTATTTTCACGGAGCTTTATTTGTTGAAATTTAAAAAAAAAATTTGAGGTTAGGTTTTTTTTATTGCAAACAATTTTAAGTATCCGCGTTGTAACTTTAAATTTAAATCAAAATTTAAACATTATTTATGAAGCAATTGAAAAGGGGAATTAATTTAATTATTGTTTCATTTCCAAACTTTTCTTTTACGATTTTTATAAAAAAACGAATTTAAGTTGGTACCTATAAATCCCCCATGCTTTGTTATTATTGAAACATTTAGGGGAATAATTCAAGAATAATAACAACAGGTCGCTTAAAAATCGAAGATTTTTTATTTAATCGATTGAAAATGACCCAAACAAGACGTTAATAATAAACAAAAGCCCGGAAAAGTGTAGAACATACCGAAAAATCACTTTAAAGTTTCGATGTGACGTCACAAGCAATGTTAACCATGCATTTACCAATAGTACTTGCTGGTGGCCGGAATTAAAATTGAATCAGTGCAAAAAAATGCAAACATTTATTTAAAATATCATAGCACCAGTCTATTTACAATAGAATTATGAAACAAAAACGGCAAGAAAGACAATGGAAAATAAAAATATTATATGTGTATACAGGGTCCGCCGAAAAGTCAGCATCATATGGGAAATTTTTGTCTATCAGAGTAGATAAAATATTCGTCGTCAAAATTTGTTTGTGTAATTATGGAATGATTACATTCCAACACCCTCCGACAGAGCCGCTATTCGCAAAATACCGCTTATGATATATTTTCAACTTTTGCTTACAACTCTATTTTTGAAGATATCGAAAAGGTATCTTGACGTTATTGTGACATTTTTTTACAAAGATTTCTAAAATATTACTTAGACTCTTATAAAGTTTATAGGAATGCCTGTTACCGTTAAGTTTTCCATATAATGCTGACTTTTTGGGAGGCCTGTATACAGGGTGTTTCAGGTTTTTGTAGCAGGACTTTAACAGTCGATAGATGTTTTAAAATTAACACAAAAACTTCATATAAACATAGGTTGACAAACACTTTGTTTTGGAGATACAGGGTGTTCAAATTAAATTTTTAAATTGATTTTTATTTAATATTACACGTGTATTTCAACCGATTCTATTCAAATTTGGTATACGGAGATTTTTTGGCATGAGAAAGACGATTATCGAGTCCGTTTTACTATAGCCGATAGAGGGCGCTCTGTAACGTATTCTTTACGGATTCAAATAACAATAACTTTTCTGACAGTATACTTTTTGGCTTTTTGAATAAAAATTCTTATTCTTTGTACTTTTTTAAGCAAAAATTGTACTCTTATCAAAATGCGCTAAAGTTGATCGTTTTCAAGATAATCCGCTTTTTATTCGATACAGACCAATTTTTTAGGGATAGTTAAAGATAGTTAAAATAATGTGTGCCATGGAAACAAAGTAGGTAAATTAACTAATATTTTAGTTCATTAATGTTTTTTAGTGTAAATGATAAAAAAAAAATTAAGGAAATTGTTGAAAATGTAAAAAATTTTGCTAGCATAATTCTGACCGACGAATTACTGATCGAGTAATGATGTTTAAGAACGGCCTTATGTCATTACAAGCATTCCTAATCCTATACAAGTCTCTCTCATACAAGTTTTTTTCAAATATTTCCACACAAAAAAGTCTAAACCATTAAGATCTGCAGATGGTGGGACCATGCGGCCATCTTGCAGGAAAATGGTTGTCTAGCCAATTTCTTACCACCCTACTATGAAAAGCTGCGCAACCATCAATCATCCCACATATTGGCATGTTCAGCTACTAAAAATTGCAAGAACGCCGCAGCGGTTGGTTGTGCTGGCAAAAAGTATGGCCCGAAAAGATGATTATTGTAAACACCTACTCAGACTTTGACACTAAATTCATGTTGGAAGTTTCGTGACCGAATTGCATATGGATACCAAAACATGTAAATTGTGAAAGTTTACAATCCTACGTCTTGTGAAACACGGTTCATCGTTCCACATTACATTATTTAAAAAATCTCGATTGTTGGCTGATGCTTTAGCAATCCACCGACAAAACGTTACTCACCGTTCTTCATCGCCTGGTTGCAATCTTTGCAAGGGTTGTAAATGATAAGCATGTCTATGACATTTTTTAAGAGGCGATAAACACGCGCCCTAGAAATTTGTAAGGCATTCGAAACTCTTCTAATACTCGTAGTGGGGTCTCTGTCGAACTCACGCAAAATTCTTCTTCTAAAGTTTCTTTGCATCCTAACATTGTCATTATTACGATCTACCCGTCGTTATTTAACCCTTGTTATTCATCTATTTGTCTGTGTACTTTCACAAACACAGTAGGATACGAACGGATGTCTTCTATTTGGATATCTTCTCCTATACTCTAGGGCTACTTCTGCTGAATTTCCGTTTGCAAACCGATAAACAAAACGAATATCCACTAACTCTTGGTTAGGAAAAATACACGGCATTTTATAAAGTTTTTATGCAGCAAACAAAAAATCAAAAAATTAGCAAAAAACAATTTAACACGATTAGGAAAAAGAGTAATGAATTTAGTTAATACATAAGAAAATTGAATTTAACACGTTAACGAATAAGAAAAATTAATTTAACACTCTGATCAACAACTACTGGTGATTTGACACTTTTATACAATAAACTAAAACATGTTTAGTTAGTGAACTTACCTACTTTGTTTCAATGGTAAACATTATTCTATCTTATTATACTTATCTTTAACAATCCTCTAAAAAAATTGGTCTATATCGAATAATAAAAAGCGGATTATCTTGAAAACGATCAACTTTAGTGCATTTTGATAAGAGTACTATTTGTGCTTAAAAAAGTACCGAGAATAAGAATTTTTATTCAAAAAGCCAAAAAGTGTACTGTCAGAAAAGTTATTGTTATTTTAATTCGTAAAGAATACGTTACAGAGCGCCCTCTACCGGCTATAGTAAAACGGACTCCATAGTCGACTTTCTTATTCCAAAAAACCTTCCTATACCAAATTTGAATAGAATCGGTTGAAATACATGTGTAATATTAAATAAAAATCAATTTAAAAATTTAATTTGAACACTCTGTATCTCCAAAACAAAGCGTTTGTCGACCTATGTTTATATGAAGTTTTTGTGTTAATTTTAAAAGATCTATCGACTGTTAAAGTCCTGCTACAAAAATCTGAAACACCCTGTAGTTGTAAAATAAATAATATAACAAAATAAAGAAAGTATACTTTTAGTATCTAAATCATGCGAGCTGTATACTGTTTATTTACAGTTACACTATACTATACTAGTTTGTTTATAATACACATATCGTTTATAGCTAATACATTATAGTTTCACTAAAGTATGCCATTTTTCAAAACAGTCAACCATGCACAGACCGACATTGTATTTTTCGCAATTATAAGATGTGCGTTTACGTTTTTTTTTTTTTGAAGAACATACGCGACAACGTCTTTGTTTGCATTTTGAGGGCCAATGTTTTGATTGTTTCTTAGCAAGGCGAGATAGTTGTTCTGCAACAAGACTTGGTCTCCCTGGATGTGTCCTCCTACTCGTGGGATTTATATTGTCGGCTTCAATAATCAAATTGCGCACTAAATTTTCGCTTTTGCTAATTCCATAACTATTGGCCATTCTGTCCGACTTGTCAACTATACTACTACTACTGTGTGTACAATATAGCATTGCCAAAATTATCCACAAAATTTCCTTCTACTGGAGGCGAGTGCATATTTGTTAGTAAATAGACATCTCGTTTGTCTTTCCACCGAACAGCAGATAGATTTTTCCTCACTCGCGTAACAATGTCCCCTTTTTTCAATTTTAAAAACTTCGGGCCAATATCTTAGAGAATTCCCTTTCTATTATATTTAACTGTTCCGCACGCATTTATTTTTCGCTTCAGTAAGTCATCAAATAATAACGGGGAGGAAAAATAATTATCCACAAATAGCTTATGGCCAACACCTTCCACTCTTCTAACTAGTCGAAAAACTGTACCGTGCGTTGCCGTGATTTCTCCATTTGCCAGTTGACTTTGTTTTCCTAAAATAAACTGACATATCAAATGTGCATCCTAAAGAATCGCAAAGTTTGTAAATTTTTATTCCGAATCTTTTGTGTTTTTTGGGAATATATTGACGGAACGCTACCCACCCTTTGAACAGCACTATCACTTCATTGACCGCAGTATTTTCTGTTGGGTAATAGAGTTCGCCGAATTTATTGTTCAAAGTATCAAACATTGTTCTGATTTTCCACAGTCGGTCATAATCCGGGTCTTCTCTATTGTGAGAATCACTGTTGTCGGCAAAATGAAGAAAACGCAAAATAATAAAAAACCGGTCGCGTGACAGTGTTGTGATAAAATGCGGTATAATACAGCTCATCTTACCCGGTGTATCCCTTTGATCATGGCCCATTTGGATAATTACAGCTAAAAACTTATATAGTTCATCAATTGTCACATCAGGAGGTAGGACTGAAGGGTCTGGAACATCATCCCTTTCATAAAACTAGTGGAAGTATCTATTGGTTTCCACTAATAAT